TCTAAAAAACAACATTATTTTTATTTAGAAAACAAATAGAAACAATGTTGTTTAGAAAAGAAAATGAAAAAAAAAAAAACGATGTTATTTTGATTAAAAATTCAAAAACTCTTGGAGTTAATTTTATTAAATATCGCTTGAGTTTATCCAACTTAATCATGTCACGAGTTAATTTAGTTATATTACTTGAATTTGATTGAGTCAACTTTTTAAATGGGTCAAGCAAACTCAGCTCGGGCCAGGTTACCGACGGGTCACAGGTTTATAACCATGCATTTCTTGTTTGGCAATAGCTTCTAGATCTTTAATTCTGTGACCCCTTGATGGCATTTCTTGTTTTCCTAATCAGAGCTGCATGTGATCTTATGTGCCTAACAAGATTGTAGTACTTTCGTCATATAAATATTTAGATTGGTGGGTTTTTTGAGATCAGGACAGGATTAGAGATCTAAAATTCCAAACAATGTAACTAAAATAACTAGGTTGCGAAGATCAAAGCTGAGTACATCCCACCAAGAGAAGATGTTGTCATGCAAAATGAAGCTCCAGATGATGTTTACATAATTGTATCAGGAGAGGTTGAGATCATCGAATCCTATCTTGAGAAAGAACGAGTTGTTGGGACTTTGCGCTCTGGGGACATGTTTGGAGAAGTGGGTGCGCTTTGTTGCAGACCTCAGAGCCATATATGTCGAACGAGAACACTCTCACAGCTCCTGAGGATCAAAACCACAGCTCTTATAGAAGCAATGCAGACCAATCAAGACGATTACATAGCTATTATAAAGAACTTTCTTCAGGTTTGTTTGTCATGGTTTCGGAGTTAATCGATCTTCTACTCTGATGTTGATTCTTTGAAAGGCTTGATGCTTCTTCCATCTTTTGCCAGACCTTTTATACCATATTTATATCTCTGCTTATGATATCACACGATGGGCTTGGGACTTGATGCTTAAATAATATGTTACACCGCAGCATTACAAAGGGCTTAAGGATTTGAAGATTGGAGATTTAACTGTTGAGAATGGAGAAGAAGATGATGATCCAAACATGGCTTCCAACTTGCTAGCTACAGCAAGCACAGGCAATGCTGCTTTTCTCGAAGAACTTCTCAAGGCAAAATTGGATCCTGATATTGGAGACTCCAAAGGAAGAACCCCATTGGTATGCTCCTATTTAGCCTAGAAAATTCCCATGTCTTCATTGTTTTTTATCAGAATCTACGTGCTTGTTGAACTCAAATGTCATTATATAATCAGAAAGTGCATGGGAATTTCCAAACATTTTCTTAAGCATTAACTGGATCTTTCTTCAAGAAGAAATGACATTCCTGGGCCTGTCCATTGGCCTGGTGGATCTTGTTTTTTATCATTATCTGAGAATCATCTCCATTTCATTCTTCAACATTGCACTTGTCAAAGGAAATAGATGACGGCCTACTGATTTCCCACCTTCTGATTCGTCCTCGACTCTCGAAAGATAGTACTGAATGATAATCTAATTTAGAAAAGAAGGTAGAAGATGCAACAGATGCATGGTTTTTGCTAATTTCTCTATTCCATGTTTTGTGGTGCAACAGCACATCGCAGCATCAAAAGGACATGAAGAGTGTGTGGTGGTGCTCCTTAGGCATGGATGCGATATACACCTGAGAGGTAAGTGCACAATTTCATAGCTTCTTGTGGTCCTAGAAATCGCTTGATCTTCCTAGATTTAACTTAGATAACATAACACCGTGATCAATTAATGACAGATGTTAATGGTAATACTGCTTTGTGGGAAGCCATATCATCGAAGCATCTTTCCATATTTAGGATTCTCTTTCACTATGCTTCCGTTTCTGATCCTCACGCCGCGGGTGATCTCTTATGCACCGCTGCAAAACAAAACGATCTGATGGTGATGAAGGAACTCCTGAAACAGGGATTAGATATTGATTCAAAGAATCGACATGGAAAAACAGCACTCCAAGTAGCCATGGCAGAGAATCATGGGGACATGGTAAACTTGCTAGTAATGAACGGCGCGGAAGTTGCTGAAGCAAACACTCATGAGCTCTCTTCCACGAGCCTCAATGAAATGCTTCAAAAGAGAGAGATCGGTCACCGAATTACGGTGCCTGATGTCTTGACTGCTAATGAAGTGCTTTTAAAGAGGTGTGAAGGGGAACAAGAATGCACCTTATGTACTAGTAAATCCAAAGGATCATCAGCAGATTGTATTAGGGTGAGCATATACAGAGGACATCCCATGGTTAGGAGACAAACTTGCTCTGTGGAAGCTGGGAGATTGATCAAGTTGCCGAATTCCCTAGAGGAGCTAAAGAGCATTGCAGGTATATTGATCTACTCTACACACCCCAAGATCAAGTCCCTTTTGCTAACCTCTTCCTCTTGAGAGTATTTGTCTGCATGAGTTGATTTGAGCAAATTTAAAATGATTTTTTAAAAAAATAAAAATAAAACAACGTTTTTTTGAGTACTTTTTAATATAAAATCGTGTTCTTCCTCGAATAGGTGAAAAGTTTGGATTCGATGCAAGAAATGCCATGGTGACAGACGAAGAAGGTTCAGAGGTTGACTCCATTGAAGTGATTAGAGACAAGGACAAGCTTTTCATAGTTGAAGATCCTACTTGCTTAATCCATTTGGATGGAAACTAGCTAGTTAAGGTTGCAATCAAAGCTCATCAGGCATATATACATAATTTTATAGACTAGTGTTCTTAGATCGATCTCACTCAATAACTAGCATATACATGCAAATGTTTATATGCTTCGTCCAAGGTCTCTAATGGGTTTAATATTATATCAGATTCAGCCCAACATGTTCTGTGAGTTGTGTTTGCCCTCTTTTCTTCTTAAAAAATAAAATGATAACAAAAATTAGAAAACGTAATCATTTGTTGAAAACTCAAGTGATTTTTTAAAAAACTAAATAAAAAATAAGAAATACAATAGATATTGTAACTGTTTTTTATTAAAAAAATAAATCAAAACCATAATTATTTAATATTTTATGTTTTTGATAATCTAATTATCACGAAAAAAGTTATATTGTTAACTAATAAAATTTATATTAAATTTAAAGTAAAAAATATATTTACATCGTTAGCTAAATATAAAAATATAATCTTAATATTAAATATTGTTAAAAAGTGCTTGTATATAAAGGAAAAACAAATTATGTTGTTCATGTGTTTTTTTTATTTAAAAAAATAAAAAGGATTGTATTTTTACTTGTATTAAAAAATCTCTAAAAATATGTTTTCAAACTCGATTGATAAGTTATCATTTTTCAATGTGAACCATCCTTGATTCACAAAGAACTATTTGTTTTTTATGGTTGAAACCATATTTGGTGAATTTAAAAAAATAGTTTAAAGTTATTTTTTTATATTTTTAAATTATTTTAACGTATTGATATTAAAAATAATTTAAAAAATATATATTATTTTTATATATTTTAAAATAAAAAATATTTTAAAAAACAAACAATTATGATAATATTCCTTAACAATACCAAAATCAACCATGCCAGTTACAAAAGATATCAATCTTGCATAATGCCCTCTAACGTGTTAATTGTTAATTTTCACTTGATGAAAAACCATAGCATAGCTTGTCTCTTCTACCTCCATGATCTAGAATTTTTTCGTTTTTATACTTTAAAAATGCTTTAATTTATTTTTATTTAAATTATTTTTTGATATTTTTAAATTGTTTTAACGTGTCAATATCAAAATAAATTTTAAATAATAAAAAAATATTTAATATATTTATAAATAAAAAATAATTACTATGAAAGATATCAAAAAAGCTACAAGTATTATATTCCAATTTGGGAATGGTCCATTCATGTCGTGGAGATTGTCTAGGGACATTCAAATATTATATTCCAAGAGGAACATTGATAGCTAAATTTAATGCTTAAAAGATAGAATGCATGTTGAGTCCTAAAGTAAAAGAATCTACGCTGTAGTTCAGCATATATAAATTTATCCTAAGCTCACCATCCATGGCCGATCTGCCTGGTTAGAATAGTCTATACCTAGAAGAAGACGATGCTCGTATATCTTATATATGTATGGGAACACAACAGTCTGCAACAAGAGAATTGAAGTAGAAAGGCTGCAGAAGACAGAGCAGCCACAATCTTAAAAGAGAAACCAAATCGAAGTAGGGAGAATGAGGAAAGGAATCCCAGTCAAAGTAGTCAAACTCTTACTCAGAGCCCATGAAACATAATCTAGCCTGTCATTGAATAAAGCGTGTGTATATATATATATATATTTCTTATAATTATATATTTCGTAAATACATAGGTTCATGAATTTCATTATTTATTGTCTTCATCCTTATTTTTATCTGGTATTTTATGGGAATAGAATAAATGATACAAAAATAGAAAATATATATTTTCTAATTTTATATTTTATTTTCTCTTACTCTTATATTAAAACATTAATATTAAAAAGAATAAAAAATGTCTTTGAATATTTTAGTGCTGCACAAAAAATTATTTTTGCATCAATTCAAAGCCCAAATTAAAAAGCCCATTGAGGGATCATGAATTAGTAACTGCATCAAATCTTTAAAAAAATCCTAATTGTTTTGAATTTTTTTTTTTTGAAATGGAATATTTATGAAATAGGATCAAATGTTATTCTATGATATTTATCTTTTTTTTATTCTTAAGCAAGTGTGTGTGTGTATAAAACTTATACCCACTCGAGCTTGATTTGATTCAAAAGGGTGAAGTTGCAGGTTTGCTGAATCAATCTCAAAATCATGATGTTTTAATATTTTATATAAAATAATATTGATTTTAAGAAAAAAATTAAAATAATATTATTTTTTAATAAAAAAATTAAGTTGATGTTGAATTTTATTTAGGCACTTTGATCGTATTAACTTTCAAATTAATTTTAAATTAAATTTGATTTAAATTAAATTCTAAATTAATAATTTATTAAGTTAATCCATGGATTGATATCTATTATTGTATAGCTAGGAATCTCCCCCGCTCATCTCTGTCTCTTTTCCTTTTCTGCCCATTACACAATGATAGCAATAGATTCCTAATCATCCCCTCCACTCCATAAGGAAACACACATAATTGCACCCAGCGATGATCCTATTCCTTGTAGGAAGAAGCCTGTACTGTGCTGCTCACAAAAAGCTACTGAAATTCAGTACTTTTATTCTTTGTTGTCTTAAATCTTGCAATATAAAGTAGTTAATCCGCAGCATCTTTTCTTCTAGCCACCATATACCATATATCCTTGAATATTAATGTTTATGGATCCTCCATGCAACCTTGCTCCTGCTGTCAGTGGCTTCTACAGCATGCTTTCAAGAGAACTTGATGACCTCGATCAGAGCTTCCTATCTCACAACTTCATCTCTGTTCAGTTCCTTTCCAAAGTTCTATCCTCTCTCCAATCTTTCCATTCTCAGCTAACCACTCTGGTTCAGGAACTTCACCTTCCCGTGGGAGAAAAGTGGCTTGACGAGTACATGGATGAAAGCTCCAGGCTCTGGGAAGCCTGTCTCGTACTCAAATCAGGTGTTCTAGCTATGGAAAACCATCACTCCTCCGGTGCCAATATAGCTTCCTCTCTCGATGGTTATCGTCTCCATTCGAATGCACAAGTTTCACGTCAGGTTAGTCTCCGTGTGTGTGTGTGTCTCTCATAAAGGATCGATATACACAAGATGTTTCAAGCTAGCTTATTAATTAATTACTTACTTATTTATGCACGGTTGTGGTCATAATGGTGTAGGTTATTCGTGCAATCGTAGGTTGTCAAAGGGAAGTTATAGTGCTAGAAGAGGAGAACAAGAGTTTGATGGAAACAAAAGTAGAAGCGTTGTCACTGAAGTTCGAAGGAAAATGTAATAGTCTATTAATGATTGAGTCGAGCTGGTTCAATGCATTCAATGGATTTCGAGGTGCTCTACACGCAATGAGGAATGTTAACTCGTTGCTTCTATTGATCTTGCTTGCTGGGTTAGTGTATTGTTGGCCACCCTTTTGGCAAGGAGCAGCTGCGTTTCGGGAGGGGGAGCAGATGACGTTTGGTTCAGCCTTCATGGATTCAATAGCAAGACTGCAGCGAAGAGTGGAAAACGGAATGGATCAAATTGGTGGGCAATCGGCTTCATCAGCTGGTATCATGCTTTATGAGTTCAGGCAGGCAAGAATTGCAATGGAGGAGCTCAAGGCAGAGCTGGAGAGTGGCGGCGCTGTGGAGTGTGGATCAGGCATGGACATCCAAGACAAGGTTGACAGCTTGAAGAGTTGCTTTGGGTTGCTGAGATGCGGGGTGGAGACCATAATTGGACAGGTTGATGATTTCTTTGATGAAATAGTTGAAGGGAGAAAGAAGCTCTTGGGCATGTGCTCTCGTCAGCCGCGCACGTAAGCAAACTACGTAGGTGAAGCAACTTTTAGGTACAAGGGATTAATTAGGGCAACCTTCTTCCACGTTTCTTTGATTCTCTCTTTTCAAGCCTTCGCTTTATTAACTCGAGTTGTGCTTTTAGTTAAATATATAATAAAACTGATTAATATAACTGAATCCAGTACAAATTTAACTAGATTACCACTAATAAAAAAAATTATTATGGTTAATTAAAAAATCTTTTTAAGAGTGTTTCACAGTGTGATTATGATTATTTTTAATACAGGACATTATAGTAATCTGAAAATTTTTAAAAAATATTAATTTAAAATAAAAAAAATTAAAACATTTTTAAAACTGTTTGAGTGTTTAATGGGCTTTCTTCTCTGAACAGAAACCCAAAACATGATATTGTCAAGCAAAAACCTCCTACAGCAGACACGGTCCTTATTCAATCCAGTGGTGGAGCTTTGACTTCTATTATCAAGTGGCCCAAATTTGACTAGAACTCGGAGCCGGAAATTTCACGCCCCAAATTCTGGTCCTAGCTCTAATTATTGATTTTCATAGCATTATAGTTGTGACTATAATTATTTGTTTTTTAAATTAATAGGGGTATTTCAACCAATTTATACACATCATAATTAATTTTATAAACTATAAAATTAATGATTATATAAACCTTTAATAATCATTATATAAGTAATCAAGAACTCGAACATAAAAATACATAGAAAAAGTTATTTAATTATCGTCTAGATAATTAACTATAATTATTTATTATATCAAGACTTATAGCTCGACAGTTTTAGTAAAGTTTTTTTATTTATGTATCCTGGGTTCAAGTTTTAGTATGCATGTTTATAATTCTTGTGATGCTTTACCTATCTAGTATATATTTAGTAAATTCAGAGATTAGTTATAGTACATGTAAGTAGTCTGGACATCCTAATTATATAAAAAAAAAATATTTAAAATTATTTATTAGTATTAAAATTTTTGCTCACACGTGGAGGCTTGATACACATTGTGCCAGGTATCTTTTAATGACAAAACGCCCCACTACTCATAAACGGGACGGGCCCACCATCAGCAAAAGCAGCTGCCCACTGGCCCCACCTTGACTTTTTTTCGGTGTGCCTGCATTCCGCGTATCCTGGCCAGTTAGGCACACGTTTTCATGGCGGATGGGGCCCAGCTAAACAAATTGGAGCCGTATTTTTCTGTACATATTTCCCACTCTTAAAATATTTAATTTCACCACTTATCTAATATCCGATTATATTTAGGACTGAGTAATTAATTAATTAATTGGGTAATCTTATAACTCTATATATCTATTTGAATTTATTCTAAAACAATATTGTTTTAAAACAATGATTATTAATCCTGTTAGATCTCACTCAATTTATTTAAACTGATTAATATGATTTACTTATTATAAGTTCAAATTTATTTAAACTTATAAATTATTATTTAAACTTAATTAAAATTCTTATGAATATATTTATGCTTTTGCACAGTAAATAAAAAACATATTTTTTTAGCTTCTATAGAATTAAGGTTTGATACTCAATTATAAATTTATTTATTTTTAAAAAATAAAAAATTTATATTTTTTTACTTCAAATTATTTTTATGTTTTCGGATCATTTTCATATGTCGATATCAAAAATAAATAAAAATTTATTTTAATATATTTTTAAATAAAAATATTTTAAAAAATAATTACTACTATGATACTAAATGGATTCTGTATATGTAATTAAGTACAAAAAACATGAATTATTTGGCTAAGACTCTATTTGACGTTATGGTTCAACTATGTTTAAGATTTTTTTATTTTTTTAGCTTTAAATTAATGTTATTGATATTTTTAAATTATTTTGATATACTGATATTAAAAATAAAAAATAAATAAAAAATAAAAATTATTATTTTAATATATTTCTAGATAAAAAATATTTAAAAATAATTTTTATCACATCCATAATATACTATAACCAAATAATATTTTCTACGTGATTAACTAAAAATAAAAACTATTAAATAATTTTAAGATGTTTGTTTGATTTTAAGATAGATTTTGCTTCGGAAACTGTCTTTTAAATTTGCTTTTTATTAAAAAAAATTAATAATTTTTTAATAAAATGAAAATTAAAAAAAAAATTATTTTATTTAAAAACTAGTATTCAAGAATATACCACACCACCATGCGAAACAGGCACTATAAATCGGATGAAATTCACGTGCCTTCCCTTAATGGACGTCTGGCTTGAGGGACCATTTTCTGAAACAGGGCATCACGAGAGCTGAGACTATTCTTGGAGATCTGAAACAAGTTCGGTGCTGAGTCGATTGATAGACACGTGAGTGTTTATCTGAGGGACTGGGGGTTGGCTTACGTACTCGCGAGCGTGAGGGAGGATGCTCCTATTTTTGCTCGCGTGTCAGAGAAGACGCCTCCATTGAAAGACGTGGCAAAGTCCGGTGAAAGGACGTGTAGCCGTCACGACCAAGCGTCACATCTTCTGCTTTCCCAGCCTCCCAGAGTTTTTGAAAATATTAAAATATTTTCGAAATTTTTAAATAATAAATCGACTATTCTTTCCCTATATTTTATTTAACTAAAGATTTATTATTCCCTACTCCTTCCACCACCTTTTCAGCTGATTCGCATTCACGCTATAGTTTTTAAACCTGTTTAAAAGATTAAAAATTATACATTTTTTTATTAAAAAAACTTCGGTGGGTTAATTAAAAATTTACTAAAAATCTATACATTTTTTATTAAAAATAATACAAATTTCTTTGGTGGGTTCCCGTTAAATAGGAAATTTTTTTTTAATAAAAACTATAAAAAAATAATATTTTTATTAAAAAAATAATTTTTATTTTATTTTATTTTAAATTATTAATTATTAATTTTTGGATTATTTTAATATGATGATATGAAAAATATATTTTTTAAATATATTATTTTAATATATTTTAAATTAAAAATACTTTAAAAATAACTATTACCACAATACCATCCATATATATATATATATATATATAGATCATCTTTTAAAGTGCTAGACTCAATATAAGGCTAATATCATGAGTTTTGATTAAATTATCAGGTTTTAAATAAGTTATCAGATCATCTTAAAACAACTTTTAATTCTTTATAAAATGAAATAATGTTATTTTTATTAAAAACAATAATTAATGAGTTGCAATTAATTTTTTATTATGTTTTATAGGGTCAACCTAAGTTTTAACTAAATTACTTAAAACTTTATCTTTTTTAATTTTTTTAAATTTGATCCAGTTTTAAGTAAGATTTTAAAACAATGATTCAAGCTGATATTAATTAATGTAAAGAAACTCCAAAATTAAGTATTTTTTTTAATTTGAAAACACATTGAAAAAATATTTTTATTTTTTAGAAAATTTTGAAAGATTATAATTTTTTGTTGGTTGTTTTAATTTTATTCAATTGAAATTGTTATAGCCCAATACAAGAAATAAAAAACATACTGTAATAAATATAAATTTAAAACTTTTGGTTTAAAAAAATTCCTATATTTCCTCTCTCTTAAGAACTTGATTTAATTTTTTTCTTCTTTTGCGTGCATACGTGGCACATGCAATATATCAAATTTAAATCCAAGCAGGCATCAATGCTTGGTTTTCTCACCAATCAAAGATGAATTAAGAGAATTTATATTCTAAAACTAAAATTTTAAAAATATAAATTTTAATTATTTTTTATTGTTCAAATAAATACTACTGTATCAATTTATTTCATAATTTTAGTGAACAAAAAAAAAGATCTAATTGAAAATAATATACAATTCAACTTCTATGTTATCATAAGTTTTTGAACGAGCTTGAGGTACAAGAGATCATCTTGTTGCTTAATTTTTTTTTATATTTTGTTTTTTTAATTTTATACTAACTTTATATATATATATATATATTATATGTAGAGATATAATTGTTAAATAATTATTTTAATTTAATAGTTTAAATTATTAAATATTTTTTTAATTAAAATGTTTTTGAATTTAAAATTTATACCTACTCATATTATATTATATTTAATTTTCATCAAATAAATAAAAATAATAAAATTTAAAATTTTAATTATTTAATTATCAACATCCTTATGCTTTATTAAAAAGTTATCCAGTAATAATTTAAGTTATAAAATAAAAATTTTATATTATTTTCTGTCAACACTGATTTTAAGGCGTCCACAAATTTTGAACAAGAGTTCTAGACCACTATTTTTTATTTTATTTGTTGAGCAGCCATCAGCCATCAGCCATCAGCCATGGCCAGCACCGCATCTTCCACCCAGAAATAAGTGGCCGACGTGCTCTTCCTGAGGCATCCAAACAATTTGCTCATTCTGATCAGCAATCAAGACTGACAGCGACAGCCTGCATTTTACACTGGAGGATATTATTATTGCTTTGAAACCAGGACCGACTGGCCGTTTGAGTTGAAAAAAAAAATCTGGTTATTTTATTTATTTATTTTATTTTTAATTTAATTTCAAATTATTTAATTTTATTTATTTTTAAATTCATGTTCATTAATATGATTATAACTTATTTTATTATGAGTTTTTTTTTTATTTTTTTATTTAATTTTATTTAATTTTCATGTTATATCTAATGTTTATTTTTGTTTATTATATTTTTAAAACCCGGTTTAAAAGTTAACTTTTATTATTGATTTTTTATTATGTTAAAAAATAAAAATACTATTATTTTGATAAGAAAATAACAAAGAAAATATTTTTTTTATTTTTTTTTGTTTTTTCTTTTTTTTTTTTTTTTCTTCTGCACTTGCCTTAGAGTTTGGGTATCCTAAATAGCAATCTAATTAAGTTAATTCAACTTTACTCCTGTTAATATGTTTTTTATATTAAAAAATTAACATAACCTGTAAGAAAAAAAACCTAGTTTACTCTGTTCCCATCCAATCTAGAACTGAAAAGGCAAGCAAGAATCAAGGAGGTTACTTGCTTGGAAAGCCATAAATAGGGGAGTTAGGTTTTGA